CACCTGAAATGCAGCAACTGCCGCCTCCAAGGCACAGCTCTCCCATACATGTGTAATATTACCAGTGGCTGTTTTACTCCAGTTAGACCGACTCTCCCGCCAGCCTGTGTAGGCTTCCCGTGGTCCATGTTAGCCACAGTGATACTTCCAGTGCCTTCAGGCAAAAACACCCATAGTGTCTTTGCAGTGATCTGTTAGTGTGGATGCATTCGCTGCCCAAGCCTCTCCCTATTGTATTTTCAGTTAGGGAAAGCACTAAACACATTGCTCCGTGTTACAGCAATTTAATTTGCTACCCTTCAAGAAGTTGCCTACGAGCACTTACAGGTTTGCAGGGCTTTTCCACTGCTTTTCCTGTAGGTTTTCCTGTGAAAGTTCCAGCTACTTGGTCTGCAGCCCCAGGACCTCTGAAGAGAAGTTTCTCCTTCAGAAATTTCYGTGTGAATTACTAACCTCTATTAGTGGGAACTTCTGACACCTGTCAGGGTATCCAGCAAGGATCCAATCACCGTTTTCCGTGATAGTTCTTTACAGAACTTGGATACCCCATACAAAAAGCAGTGGCCCAAGATAATCTTTATTTCCCAAGATCTGCAATTGATTTATCAAGCCAGTAGAGAAAGACTAGCTAGGAAATGCCAGCCACCTCCGGAGAACTCCTGGAAAGGCAGCGGTCGGCAGCTCCTCTGCCATCTCTTTAGGCATGCAAGAAAACAGACTAGTGAGAAAGCACCCGCCACCGCTCACAGCGCCCGTCTCGCCATCCCGCTGGCTTCAGGGTGGCTCTTGTCRCCCTGCGGCTGCTGCCCTGCACACCCCCCGCCTCCCTGCTCCTCGCGCAGCCCCCATGGGGGGGCTCCGGCCTCCCCTCTGCTCCGGGAAATTTTCCATCCACGGGGAGAAGGTATTTGCTCATGTTGTCTCAGTGGCTGCAGGCTCCGGTGCCAATCCTCAGGTGTCATCTCTGCAGCACCCGGTAGGGCAAAGAGCAGCGTGTAGATAAAGCAGGGATTGAGCAAGCTGCGGCTGCAAAGGCCAGGCATGCTGGGTCAGAGGTGAGCAGAACATAAGCACAAGGCCAACAAATACCCGAGCATCCCCGTGTCACATGGGAGCAGGGGTGAGCGAGCGCTGAGCCGGGGCAGGACTCTCTGCTCTTCAGCGAAAGAGCTGCACGAGGCCGGGAGATGTGGCCGGGGCCCTGGCGTGGGGCACGCGCGGTGGGCATGAGACCTGGGTCTAGAGAGGGGGAAGGACGTGCCCACGGGTTTGTGTGTTAACATGAGAAAAGGCTCAAGGCTGAGAACTAGGGGAGAAGGAAGGAAAGTCAACCCCTTCCTGAGCTGAGACGCTGTCCGTATCTGATGTTTCACAAATTTATGCAGCAGAGAGCAGTGGGTGGGAAGCAAGAGACCAACAGGCAGCCCCTTCCAGGGAGAGCTCGCAGGTTGTGCTGGTGTAAGATTTGCAGCTGTATAAATATGGAGTGAAAARGGTATAAAAAGAAGTGAAAGGTAGAGTGCAGAACATGCTTAGAAATRAACTTCCATTTTACCTCTCTATTTTGCAGCTTTTATCCCAGCAACACTCTGCCTAAGCCAGCCCCTCACCCCAAATCACCCCCTATTCCCCCGAGACCGTCGTACGCCGCCCCCGCGCTCTCCCTCCATGTGCCCGTGCGCACGGACACGGCTCCCCTCCCAAACCACCGCCACGCTCCTCTCTTCCTCACACCAACACACAGGCTGCAAAGCCCCGTTCACTGGGGCATGGCACCAGCTTCTGGCACTCATGTCCTCCCTCTCTGCCCCTGCGTGTCGTGTTTTGRACTGTGGCTCTCCGGCTGCGAGATCCGCAAGGCGAATAACACAAGAGATCTGCACTGCTGATGCTACCCGCCTGCTGGCAAGGACTGCAAGGCAAATAATACAAGGCTTGTGCTGTATATAACAAGCATCACCACAAATTATCACCAGCTTGTTTTTCTAGTGCACAGACCTCAGTTCACAGTTCTTATAAACTCTTCAGTCTAACATTTCACTATGTGTCACTATTAAACTGGAATCTAACTAAGTAATTTGCGGGTGATGCCGTCTCCATCCCCAACTGACTAGTTCTGAAAAAGGAAATCAGGAAGTCGCTGGAAAGCAGCACTTCTCACCAAACGCCGACTCTGCCCAGGGCTGTTCCGCCAGGAGCCTCCTTACAAAAAGGCCCCTGTCCTCAGCCATTCCACGGGGCGACACCAGGGCCTGGACCCCTCAGCTGGGAATGTCTCATCCTGGCACCTCAACTCCTACCTAAAGAGTTTCTTGACAGGGAAGGCTTTTCCAGGAGGATTTCCAGAGCTGGCCAGGTGCGGAGCCTCAGGGACAGCCTCGGGGACAGGCTGCAGGGTGCTCAGGGGTGCTGGGACACCCTTCACAGTGCAGATCTCACTCTGCACCCGCTCATGCGTCCAAAGCCCCATTTCTGGTCACGTATTCGCTAGGGCAAGGGCGGAAACAATGTGAAAGAAACCAGAGGCAGCCCSAAAGCGGCTCGCTGAACGCCGGCCGGGGTTTGGGTGAGCGGCCGGTGCCGCCAGCAGGTTCCCACGAGAAGCTGCGAGCGGATGCGGCCACCCCGCGCGTGGACGCCGAGCCCCGAGGCTGGAGGAAGTTTAAAGAGCAGCAGGGAGAGTGGGGAGGCCGGCGGGGCACGGGAAGGAGGCGACAGGCCGGGCATCCAACCTCAATTACCTTTCTGGCTGACGTGGGATCTCCGTGAGTACGGAATTACTCAGCCCCGGCCGGGAAAGGAGGTGTGGGCCCTGCCACCCCGATACCATCTCTTTCACATGATGGTTGCACAGTGGTTGTGCCAGGGGAGCTCGGCGCAGGCTCGGGCACCCGTTTCTGCTGCCGAGCAGCAGAGCATCATGCAGGAGGTCAGAGGCAGCAAACGAGACCCCCAAGAACATCCCAGGGGCCTGGGAGCGTCACCAGTGCAGTTTAATGTCCAGTTTTAGCTAATGGCTCTGGCACGCTGGAGACCTGGCAAAGCCCAAGGGGGCATTTGGAGGAGCCAGAGCTGCTTGTGAGCCCCGAGACATTCCAGAGGCAGAAAGCCAAGGAGCCCGATTTCCACGAGTTCAGTTGCAAGGGCCAGTTAGGGCGGCCGTTGCGTGGAGCTGTCAGATGAGAATGCAGGATAAAGACCCAGAGAAGAGAGTAAACAGCCCGAAGAACAAGCCCCGGCTCAATACAACTTGCCAGCCTTTGCACCCAATACAGATGTTTGTATTTGGGAAGGTATGGGCTCTAACTGCAACCTGCAGACCAGACCTCTGGCCAGGCCCAGCTCCAATTTAATCTCTGGTGCGCTCACCGAAGATTAGCTTGGTAGATAAAGATGGAACTAGAAATATTTGAAGTCTGCAAACCTGTTAGGGTACTTTAGTTATGGAAAGAAAAAGCCATTGAAAATGTGAAAAGAACAAGAAAAGAGAAGAAAAACAAAAAAGTCAGAGGAGCCTGGTGGTCTCCTCAGACTGCTTTCTAAATTCTTCCTCTTTTCAAATTCAGAAGTTTGAACATTATGAACAGTTGACTGTTTAAATCATATAATGCAATACCTGTTCCTCTGGCTTAACGTTACAGTATTTCCCACACCGCAGGATTGCTTCACATTATTCTGAGAGGCAGTGTCATTTTCCCTGCAGTGCTGGGTCTTCTTTACTGAGGCGAAGGACACTCCTACTTCCTTTAATTATATGTTTTGTTTTAAATTAATGTCCTTTATTCTGGGGATGAATCACCAGCTTGTAGACAGGTAAATGTGGGAGTAAGGGAAAGAAAATATAAGTTTGATTCCCAAGGTGGGTGTCTTTAATTAAAACGGACATCAAGATTCTGTTTTCCTTCCCAAACTCACCCTGCGCACCCAATATCACGGTCCCGGTGGACTCCATGTTCCTGTGCACGTCTCGCGCTCCCTTTCTGGCTCGCTTTGAACACAGCCCCCTTGGCTTTCAGAGTAGCAGTTCCCTATCGCTCGTGTGCCCTCAGAGTTGCACCATACCCTGCAAAGTAAATATGCCCASACAAACTTTAAGGCCACCATCCCCGCGCGAGGAGGTGGGGAGCGCGCGGGGCTTGCCCGGCTCCCTCACCCCACCAGGGCAGCCGGGGCAGCGCCGTGTCCGGCTCCAGCTCCATTTCACCGAGTTCCCCACTCGCTGTTGTAAAGCGGTTCGGAGCACGTCTCCATGGGACAACTCTGCCTGCCAGTGGGATTTACTTAATCAAGCACTGGCCGGAGAATAGCAGGATCTGGCTTCTATTTGCAGCTTTCTCCCTGCCTTGGCAAAAGAGCTCGGAAAAATCTCGCCTGCCTTGATTTCCCCAAGGGTAAAACGGGACCCAGGCGGGATTTGCACCCACCTCTGCACAGCACTGTCAGCCCTGCGGCACCGAGCCCTACCCTCAGATGCGAAACAGCCCAGCTGGGGCCGGGGTGGCAGCAGGGTCCCCACGGGCGCCCGTGGACCCTCGGGGTCGAGCAGCGCCGGCCACTGTTGCGTGCGGGCGTTGCGGGCGCCCCGAGACGCGGCGCTGGCGGCGAGGCCGGCTGCTCGCGGCCTTACCTGCGGGCCCGCGGGCCAGGGCCCTCCCTCGGCAGCCGGCCCCGCTCCGCTGGGGTGGCTCGGTACAGCCGCACACGCACACACCCCCGGTGCCTCCTGCGGGGCCCGCGCCAGCGGTTGCGAAGCGTGCAGCGTGGCAGGCGGCCAGGCGCTGACGTTCCTGTTGCTATGGGATCCACCGCCCCTATAAATAACTGAGCAAAGGAACTTTCCTAAGTCAGAGACTTTAGGACACGGGACCCACAACCAGATGGTCCGGAGGAGAAACGCGGGCTCGAGCAGCAGCGGCAGGAGCAGCCGAGCCCCGTCGAGCCGCAGCTCCTGAGGCAGCACCGCGGGCAGCGCAGCCGGGGGCCGTGCCCAGAGCCACGGACTGAGGCCGGCTCTGGAGCCCCCCACCCCAACGGCGGCTGCTTGATCCTCTGCCGGGGGGGCCCCCCGCGCCGTTTCCTCCTCCCCGCATCGCCCTTTGCTTTCATGCAACGCCTGGTGGCCTGGGACACAGCATGCTTCCCCATCCAGCCGCCCGCCTTTAAATCCATGGAAGTGGCTAATTTCTACTACGAGGCGGACTGTCTGGCTGCTCTGAACAAGCTGCACCCGCGGGCGGCCGGCGGCCGCGCCGTGAGCGAGCTCTCCGTGGGGGACCACGAGAGAGCCATCGACTTCAGCCCCTACCTGGAGCCCGCGGCCGCGCAGCCGCCTCCTCCCGCGGCAGCAGCAGGGGGCAACTTTGAGCCTGCCTGCAGCGGCGGCCAAGATTTCCTTTCCGATCTCTTCGCCGAGGACTATAAAGGCAGCAGCGGCGGCGGCAAGAAGCCCGACTACACCTACCTCAGCCTCGCCCGCCACGGCCCGCCGGGCGCCGGGCAGGCCCACAAGCCGGCGCCGCTGCCCGGCTGCTTCGCGCCGCACGCCGCGGACACCAAGGTGGAGCCGGTCTTCGAGAGCCTGGACTCGTGCAAGGGGCCCCGCAAGGAGGAGGGGGGCGCGGGGCCGGCGCCGGGGGGCATGTCCTCCCCCTACGGCAGCGCCGCGCGCTCCTACCTGGGCTACCAGTCGGTGCCGAGCGGCAGCAGCGGGAACCTCTCCACGTCGTCCTCGTCCAGCCCCCCCGGCACCCCCAACCCCTCCGAGCCCTCCAAGTCGGCCGCGGCCGGCGGCGGCGGCTACTCCGGCGCCGCGGCGGGCAAGAACAAGGCCAAGAAGTGCGTGGACAAGCACAGCGAGGAGTACCGGCAGCGGCGCGAGCGCAACAACATCGCGGTGCGCAAGAGCCGCGACAAGGCCAAGATGCGCAACCTGGAGACGCAGCACAAGGTCTTAGAACTGACGGCCGAGAACGAGCGGCTGCAGAAGAAGGTGGAGCAGCTCTCCCGGGAGCTGAGCACCCTCAGGAACTTGTTCAAACAGCTGCCCGAGCCGCTGCTCGCCACCTCGCCGCGCTGCTGACCCCCGCGCGGGGCGAGCGCCGCCGCCCTCCATCCCTCCCTCCTGCCGCGGAGCCCGGCGGCCGCTCGGTTTGGTTGTCGCTTTTTCCTTTTATTTTTATTGTTTTTGGTCTTTTTTTTTTTTTGTTTTGTTTTTTGTTTTTTTCTCGCGCCGGCGGGAGCCCCCCCGGGCCGGGCGGGCTCGGCGGGCTGCGGGCGCGGGGGGTTATTTAAAAGAGCGAGAGGAGAGCGAGGGCAGAGTGATGCAATCCGCGAAGCATGGCTGGGAATGCTGTGTACATGATGCAATCTCGTGTAACTGTCAGTCATGAATTGAGTAATCTGTTAAAGATGTTCCTACTTTTTTTTTTTTATTATAAAGAATAATCTATTTCTATAAGAAAATACATATGTATATTTTGGGATCTATGCATTCTTGCTACATTTGAAGCATTAATGAACAATTTTAATAAACTTTATGACTAGGTTAAAAAAAAAAGGAGCTTGTTTTATTCGGAGGGCATCTTTAAAGTTAGATTGGAGGCAGAGCTGAAAATCTAAGTGAATCCAGCTCGGTGCTGAGGGCAGGGACCAGGATTTTTGTTTGTCTTTTGGCTTCTTTTTTTTTTGTGACTCAGCAAAAAGAAAAAGAAAAAAAAAAGAAAGAGAACAAGCAAAACAAAAACAAGGGAAAACCAGAAAGAGCAGAGCTGGGAGCTTTAGCCTGTCCTTGTTTTCTTGCCTCTTTTTATTTCCTCTTACACTTGCCATAGCTGCGGCGCGGGGTTGTTTGGGGAGGAGGTGTTTGGTTTTGCTTTTTTGCACTTCTCCCTGTCCTTGATGCGTAGAGTGAGATCCGCTGGCCAAGCCATGACCAGYGTTTGGCAGAGCAACTGCAAGTCCAAGGGGGAGGGAGGGTGGAAAAAACAAGGCAGGCAGGCAGGCCAAAATGAGGTTTTCTTTCTTGCTTGAGTGTCTGTTCTCCAAGTTACGATTCAGCATTTCTTATGTTTGCAGTTTACAGGACTAAACACGGAAAGTAGCATTTCTGTTGGCCGTTGATAATTCGGTGGTGGCTCAGGAAGCTCGCGGGGAAGCCGGCCAGGTGAGAGGCGCATGAACAGCTCTCCCTGATACTCCCCCTTGAAACTTTAAAACACTGTGTCTAAAAGCAGGCGTTTCTGCATGGAAAGGTGTTGGTTTCTGCATGCACGGGGGCAGCAGGCAAGGAGGAAGTTTGCAGCAGCCACCGCTTTGTTTTGGGGAGAACGGAGGCTCTGCTGCTGCTGCGGGGARCCCGACCGGCCAAGGCTGCCTCGTCCCGGGTCCCTGGCTCCCCGTCCTGCTGCCCTGGGGCCGGCTGCTAAGAGTCAACAGGCTCGAGCTGTGGCGGGAGGGAGCTGAGCAAAGGTCTTACTCAGCAGTTTCCATTTTCCTGTTAGGCCAAATTTAAGCACTCAGTTTTCAGATTCAGACTCCTAATGCCCTGCAAAGATATTTCCTAGCTGTCTRTACTCTGTTTGACAGTAGAATCTCTATTCAGAGTTTTCTCTCTTAAATAAAACAGTAGATTTGAATATATATATCCCAGTATAAAGAGCAATGGAGAGCAGAAGAAACTCTTGCTTTTGACTGCTTGTTTGTAGCGTTTCTTTAAGCAAAGCATGTGTTCTGCTGAAGGAACTGCTCTACATTTTTGGACACTTAAGATCGTATCTTCCTCCAGCAGGTAAAGCTCCCGGAGCTCTCCCTGAACTTTGCTTTGCATTTCCTGCTCCCGCTATGCCGCTCCTGCCAGGAGCTGCGCGGGGAGGGTAAGAAGTGACATGTTTGCCTTGAAACAGATTTATCTCCCTTTTTTAAAATGCTTTTTACTTTGTGTGGGGAGTCCAGTGCCTTGTACGAAGGCTCGGCGCGGACCTCCCTGCGCCGCTCGTGCTGCTGCAGCAGCCCGGGCGCGAGCTCTCGCCTGCGCCATCCCTCGTGACCGTCATCTCCCCAGCCTCCCATGGCTGTTGATTCTCCCGTCCTCGTTACGAAACTGCTCCGTGTTCGCGGCGCGGCGGAGGCCGGGTGCCTTCCCCACGCGCCGCAGCGGCGCTCCCGGCCCGCACGGCGCCCAGGCCTCCGCAGACACATCTCTTCTCTTCTCCATAGGCGACGAAGCCTCCGTCAAAAGCTCGGTTTGTGGAGGCTGGGAGGCAGGGGAGATTGGAAGATAAGATGTACTAAAGGTATTTATATTTGTTTAAATTATAGTCCAGTTCTGGAGATAGAGCATGAATGAGCTAATCCCCGTCCTTAAACTTTGCCTGCTGCAGCTAGGAAGAGTCGGGGCCACGTGCGGTTGCAATTTAAAGAATGATGTTTAAATTCCTGCTGTATTCCACTGTATCTCCTAATTTGGGTTACAGATTTCTCCTTCTGGAGGGACCTGGTGCAGCACTGAGTCTTTGTCAGAAAAATACAATTTCAGATGGAAAACAGAGGAYATAAATGCACTGATTTTACTCTAGTCTTAGAAGGAATTTGTGAAAGATTCAGAAAGAGAATTTCTGAATCCTTCCCTTTAAATCTGGGGTTAGCCATATAACCTACGCTTCAGGAGCTTTGTAGCACTTTYACATGCACAGAGGTCACAAAATACCCTACTTTACAAAAACAGAGTACAAAAAAGCCCCTTGCAATTAAAATACTTCCTAGAGAAAAAGAAGAAAAATTGGAAATGAATCTGAGACAACTGCAAGCACTGAAGGAGACAAAAGATTCAAAAAACTTTTCAAATCACAGTGGGGGAATCGGAAAATCCCTGTCCAAACACTGTCTCAGCTCCAAATATTGATATAGCTTCACATTACAAATAAGATTGTGTTGGTTGAAAGCATCGCTTGGTGTATCTCGGCTGGTTTCTTACAGGATTTCTTTGTCCTAAATCTTCTCAGTCCTAAATCAACTTAGTACAAGTTGTCATAGGACTTTGTGTGTGTATACTCAAGCAAACCATGCTTGAGTTATGGCAAATGATTCTAGTTTTCTGCTTTGAAGCTTGTGGAGGTTTATACACAACATTTGTTGTAGCCTTTGTTTTCCTCTTTCACTTTGTTTATTTCATTTACTGATTCATATAGGTCTTTCTCACCACTACTGAAATAACCAAATTTCCTCCTATGCAGAAATAAATCTAGAAGGTCAAATCCCTACCATTGACAAAGCATCTAACAGTTTTATTGTTTGCTAGGTCTTTCAATTCAATCATGTTTAGTTCTGCAAAAGAATTTTTATGTACTATTTTAAAACAAAATAATTAAATATACTGACAATTACTAATTTGTTAGCAGTTCTTCTATGTATTAATACAGATTATTATTTTCTACTTTCTTTATACGCCCAAAGCATCTAGTAATCCTTGTAGCTCTGACATTGTGCGTTGCTTTTCCCACTGCCTTCCATTTATCACTCTTGGAGGATGCTGGAAAAGTTGCACTTTCTTCTGTACTAATTATTTAACTTCTATCAGATAAAATCACACACATGCAACGCAGGATTACCGAGCTGGGAGACTCAATCACATTTGGTAAGTGTGGAGTTTTTTCCTCTTGTTAAAATCCCACAACTGCCTTCAGCTATTGGGATTACAACCTGGAAAAGCTGTCAGTGAGGTAACTAGCGCCTCCAAATGTTTGTGCAGTTTTTACCTTAACAATTGTATTGCTAGAACAACTGTCATCAGTGTGGATGTGCATGTCGATCCTGACATGACGCCAGCACAGCAGCAGTTGTGATCTGCAGTAGATCTCTCAAGGTCACACTTTCACAGAATAGATCCAAATTCAAGCTTCATTAGTTCTAAAATTTTCACTGATTTGTAATATTTAGATCCAACTATTTTTTCAAGCTAATTACAGTCCAAGATATTGGTCTATATCCAGTTCTGGCCTTGCCCTATCCCATCTGCTCTTGCCTTGGCACTCCTATATCACACATTCCACAGCTATCACAGCACGTTCTCACAGTTTAGAGTCTTTAAACCTGAGGTTTTATTTAGGCCTCATTGTATAATTCCAAGTGATTTACAGAATGATGAATCCTCCAAGGCCTCGCACGTCCTCTCCGCACGGCACACGGAGAACCCCAGACCTGCTTGGACGGGCTCTCCCAGAGCCAGCTCTGCGCATCGCCCAGGCAGGGTGAAAACGGGGGTTTTGAGAGAGGCTACAAAATCGGGAGTTTCACATGGCCACACGGAGCAYGCGCCGTGCGCGTTTGCTCTCTATAAATACCTCGGGTTTACTAGTACATCGCAATAGCAGTTCATTAAGCCTGTGGTATGTAGTTCATGGATGTTGTCTAGAAATTACAGTAGCAAGAAGCAAAGCATCTTTCATACAACACAAAATCTCTCTAGTGCCCGATCAAGCTCCATGGAAGCTGCTGAGCTCCTCCGAGCTCCGAGCAGAGGAGCTCTGCTGTGGAAACGCTCGACACGGTGACACGATGGGAACAGATCCTGTGYGCAACATGATGAAACTATTACTTGGCTGCCGTCATTCAGAAAGGGAATCACAAGAGTTTCCCAGGGCAGCGCCGGCRGCTCCTGGCAGCGCACGGGGGCTGCTCCTCACCCGGCCACCGGGACCCGGACCCGGGGCGGGAGGGTTTGGCAGCCGTTTGGCTGGGTGTTTTGGGTGGCTGCTTGGCTGGATGTTTTGGACAGCCGTTTGCCACCCTTCTGCGAGTCTAGGTGAAAGTGTAAAATACAGATTCTGTCTTTATTGTTGCTTGTAGGCCAGAAACTGAAGCTGTTGCTTGAAATACAGAAGGACAGAAAATGAAGCTAGAATGTAATGTCTAAGCATGTCTATCATTATGCCTATCATTAAATGTACAGGAGCAGAATGAACTCTATGGCTTAACTTTAGCCCTTGTGTACACAGTGCCCTTAAACACTTGCAAAGCAAACTATATAGCTGCAGCATTAATTAACAGAGAATACTGACAATTTCTGAATTCAGAAATTAAGACACATGAGACGAAGACTTGAGCTTTGGCAAAAGCACGTGAATTGAAAGACACAGTTTCTGTTCCTGTTTTTTCCACCAGTTTATTGTCTCTTTAGATAGTCTCTTAGTCCCTAAAT